ATTTTTCAACATCAGCATCTTGATACTTTTTTTAAATTATATGCTCGATTTCCAGCTGATGCTTAAACGCGCTCATAAAACTCGGCTTGTCTGATTGTACTCGCACAGTCCGTTCCTGTCAGAAAACAAACTAGTGAATCCAGCAATGAACAAGGTACACGTTGATGTGAAACATTTAGAGTCGTTTGGAATATTCTGGGAGTGAGATGAATAAATGTTTGTGCCGTCTGTGGATTTATTTCATCTGTGGTGAGGTGTGCACATGTATATTCATAAGTTAAAAAAAAAAACATTCTGTTCCAATGACCGCAGCTCTCCTGAGATCATTACAAAAAGGCACTTGCATAAATATACATGACAGTTCACTAAACGCGTAAAGCAGACCTCAATTCTGGCATTTAAGCAGATCCTACTGTATCATTACTGCTAAATCCAGCCACTAGCGTGTGATGCTACATACTGTATCTGCAGGTATAAATGGAGATTTAAGAACAGGCTTTGAGATATGCAAGTTAAATATTGTTTATACCAACAATAGAAAGTTATGATACAGAAAGTCAGATTTGAGAGGGGAAACACAAGCTCTGATCCAAAACCTAGCGAGCAGCCATAGTGCCTACACCCTACATAGGTACAGTAGCTACCTTCTAAGGCAGCATCCTAGGTAAATTATAATGTCATAAAATATATAGATATATAGAAGCTCTATATATGCAGAAGCTGTCATACAAATATGAAATTTGTAATAATTTTTAATATGACACAAGAGAAACTTCAATACTATATTTAATTGTCTCTTCAACTTCAGCACTTTTATGTCCCAGGGGTTGATTTTCAATAGCTTTTTTGTTATATGACAGTCCCAATATAACTGACTCAGAAGCATTTTTCTTTTGCTAATGTCATTTACAGTATGTCTATAGTAATTGTGTGAAAATATACTGTATCAGTTTTTCAAAAGCTACAACTGTCCCATATTTGTGATGACACTTCAACTACATCAATTTTGCCTATTTTTTAATCAAAAATTAGTGTTCTTGGTTACTAAGGGGACAACAGTGTCAGTCAAGTGCTTGAGGTGAAATGAGACGTGTTACAAAATAAAGGGGGCAAAAACAAGGTAAACCACTTGTGAGCAGAATGATTTTGTTTCTGTGCCCAATGTCCGATAGACCTGTAATTTTGTCAAATTATCCAAAAAGTGTGTTGTATTTATCTCTGATACATAAAATGCTAGCTACAAATTTAGGCTTGGCAAAACAAGAGTGTTATTTTATTCCAAATGTCAAAATGTCCTTCCCATCCATGTCATTAAACATAATACATAATTTGAGATGTGCTGGAAATGACAGTCTGGTGGAAACATTAAATTTTTCAGAAAAAAAGAGACCTTGTAAATGGATTAATTAAGTGTTATTTTCTAAAAGTCCACAAGGTCAAAAGAGCACATAGTTAAAGAAACATTCAACACTGTTTGAATATTTGGGGTGAGTACGATTTTTTCTTATTGAAAGAAATTAATGCTTTTATTCAGCAAAGATGCATTAAATGGATCAACATTGATAAGAAGAAATGCTTCATGAGCAACAAATCAACATAGAATGAATTCTGAAGGATTACTGATTTGATGAAATACATAAGAGGTTTCTTTAAAAAAAATCTTACCAACCCGAAACTTTTGAACGGTAGTCTATATAGACTTTTTTAACTTAAAAAAAAAAAACATTTTCATTATTAAATAATTTTATATGCACATTTATAATGAACCTTGTTTCACTTGTGGTCTTGGATTTGTTCACTGAATTTTCTGCAATGCATTATATAACTGCAACCTCTTTAAAGACTACCTGCTGCCTTTGGTGAAAACGAGGCGTTTTAAGCCTTTTCGACCAGGCTTTGTGTTGGAAACGTTCATAAAATGCTTTTCAATGCACACTAGGTTTTGGAAAAGAGCAACAGTATGCAATATTATGCATAAAACATATATACAGTACAAACACTATTTCCCACAGTGAAGATGAAACCCATCAGAAGCAGGACTCGGGCACAGGTCTCTGTCTGCCAAGTGAAGTGCTTCTGTATCTGATTTTCTGTAGTGTTGCATAGGAGGATTTATCTACCGCAGGTCCTTTATGGGGGGCCGGCACCAATGGACCGTTTCTTTGGAGAGACAACGTCCTCTTCAAAGTCATATCTAGCCTGCTCTGAATATTGGATGAGCTGTGTTTTATATCAGCTGAGCTTGAACAAACCTGGTTTTCTCTGCTGTTAACTGCATTACTGGTGCTCTTGTGAGCAGTGCCGGTTTTCCTCACCTCAATGCCCTTTCCATTTAGAGTCCCGTTGGATAGTGACAGTTTGGTCAAGCTCTTGCTGGAAAACGTTTTCCCGTGAACCACCTCATCCTGCAATTGGGTGGTACTGATGATGGCGCCGTCTTTGCTCCTGTTTTCCCCTGTGGCCGTCTGCGTCTGGCTGGGATGAGTCCTGTTAGTCGCAGCCGGCTGGTTTCGTAGCCGTTTTAACGTGGAGTCTCTGGAATAAGATGCACTGTTGCCAGTACCAATGGAAAGTGCACTAGGGGAACCTTGAAGCGACTTACTGACTTGAGTCCTTTCGTGCTCCTGCCTGCTTTTTGAACTGTTTTTGGCCAACGAGCCATCGGATGTGATGCCGTTGAGCTCCGCTGCTGGTCTGCTCTGGCCTTCGGGCAGTCTGGGGGAATCTGGACCTTGATAGCTACATCGCTCCACACTACTGCTACAGCTTGGGTAACTCAGAGAATCGTCCTCACGAATCTGGGCTTTGACCTGTGAAGGACTAGCCACGATACTTACTATTGGCTCCTTGGTGCATCGAGGCCGCCGGCCGGACTCAAGGTACTCCACCAGCTCGCCGTTTCCGGGTTGTGGAGCGATGCTGGAGGGCTTTCTGCGGTCCTTGGAAGCAAATGACCAGCGCAGTGGAAGAACTTTGCTTGGGCCCGTCTTGGATTTGGAGTGGTAGCGCATACTCATACTGTGGCCCCGGACACTTCGTGCAAATGGTGTCGGCTCAACTACATCTAAAAGCAAAAGATGGAGGACTTAACAAAGATTAAGAAATACTGTAACAATTGTACTGTTCATTGTTATTTAATGTTAGTTAATGCATTATCTGAAGTTAACTAATGGGACCTTATTGTACAAGTGTTACCAGAAAATTTACAATATAATACATATATCTGACAATATACAATGGAGAACAAAATTAGAGAACAACCTACAATGTCCTAAATTTCAAGGTCACTGCTTAGTCCTATTTCAAGTTATCCTAACAGGAGTAGAAGGGCAGTTTTTAAGCATATTTTATAAATTAATTGTATTCTGAAGCACAGTATATATATAAAAAAAAAAACTTAAATGAGATATTTGAAAAAAATACGTGTTAATCTGGCACCTGGTGCTAATTTCCTTCATTATATGACAACCCCTATTTAACTGGCAGCATTCCTCTAATTGTTACTGTGATTGTAAGATGGCGGGTCGCTCTAAGGTGACTGAAACCCTGCGACAGGAGTTTGTCCAGATGAAGTCCAAAGGGATGACCCTTTCAGCCACTGCAAGAGAAGTTCGTCATTCCAAAACGGTGATTTCTCGAATATTGCAGCTTTACAATAGCCCCTTTTGCACAGTAATACCAGTAAATTGCCGTAAAATTACCGGAACGACTTTACAGTTAAATTAAAAAATGCGCTGTTCACACAGGTAATAAATAGCATTCTGTCTTTTTACTGGTAACGCACCATTCACACATCGTTTTCAAACTACCGGTAAATTCTGTGACATCATTAATCAGAAAAGACCTCTTAACGGCTGCGACTCCCGGAGGCTGGTTGACAGTGTAAGACAAATGCACGAGAAGACAGGCTAATGCGGGGACTCTCAGTAGGGAATCGGTTCAACACTGCAGCTGGAATTGCTTGTCAGTTCAGTGCTGAACAGGGTAAGGATTTGTCTCAATACATTTAAGAGAAATCGGACTGAAAGTACACTCTGCATTGACCAAGCCTCTCATCAGCAGAAAGAATCAAAAGGCTAGACTAACCTTTGTTCACTTTAGTGAGCAAGTTTAATTAATTTGGGTCCGATGGGAAACATTTTGTTCGGTGTCAAACTGGGGAAAGACTTAAGCCCAAGTGCGGAAAGAAATCAGTGAAAGTTGGAGCAGGAAGTGTCATGGTTTGGGGATGTTTTTCTGCAGCAGGTGTTGGGACTCTCAAACAGCTACATGACAGGGTCAATCCAAATGTTTATCAGAAACTCCTTCAGCAACATGCAGTACCTTCCCTGCAAGCATCTCCCAATCAGCCAGCAATTTTCATGCAGGACAATGCCCCTGTCACACACCAAAACAGGTAAAGCAGTTCCTTGAAGCTAAGAACATCGAAATAATGACAAAAAAATCTCTGGAAAATCCCTGGCGACCAAGTTATGACTAAGAAACCCACTACAGTCACCGAACTATGGAAGACACTGGAAGAAGAGTGGACAAGATCACACTAGCACAGTCTGAGAAACTGGTGATGTCCTGCGGCCGCAGATGTGCTGAAGTCATTCAAAGCAAGGGCCTCTACAATTCCTCATTTCTGACAGCTGACCCTCCAAAATTTTAGTTGTAATCTTCTTTCGTGCTACAGTGGTTACTGTTCTCTAATTTTGATCACTGTGTTTTCCTCAAAATAAAGGTTTTTCTTAAAATGCCTTGGTTATTTTGTCAAACATGTTAGTAGAACAATGGTATACCCACATATAATATACCTTCAAATTTTGATTAACAATATTTTATAAAAAAAATCAAGTATTTGTAGACTGTTCTCTAATTTTGATCTCCACTGTATTTACGATTTTATGATATTTACAATAAAACAACATTTATTGTTTGAATTTATCCATTAAATTGGAAATAAAATTAATTTGAAATCCGAGACCTTCCAATGAATTTTATAATAACAGAATTTCTCCACAAACAACCCATTGCGATTTTGGGCCGCTCGCATTACATTTGACTTACTTTTTCATAAAATTATCATTTTGTATTATTTATTATTTTTAATTTATTAAAATTATATTTCTTATTATTTACTTTTACACATTTTATTGCTAAATTCAAACAATAAATGTTGTTTTGTTGTAAGTATTGTAAAACTGTAAATATATTGAGCTACACTTTATGTTAAGGTATCCTTGTTACAGTGTAATTATATATTTAAGTACTGAGTAATATTAATTAACTACATGTACTTACTATATGGTTAGGGTTAGTATTAGGGTTTGGTTTAGGGTTACTTGCATGTAATTATGCAGAATTTATTGTTATTATAATAGTAAGTACATGTAACATGTCACAAGGACACCTTACAATAAAGTGTTACCTTATATTGCTAAATATATGTACTATTTTATAAATAAGTTACATTTTCTGGTAACACTTGTACAATAAGGTCCCATTAGTTAACTTTAGTTAATGCATTAACTAACATTAAATAACAATTAACAATACATTTGCTAAAGTATTTCTTAATCTTTGTTAATGTGAGTTAATAAAAATACAATTGCTCATTGTTAGATCAGGTCAATGACTTAATATTAACAGATAATTTTTTTAAATAATGTATGAGTAAATGTTGAAATTACCATTAACTGAGATTACTAAATGCTTTAGAAGTATTTTTCATTGTTAGTATAAGTTGACTAATGTAGTTAACCATAAATTAAACCTTATTGTAAAGTGTTACCAGTTTTCCTTAACCTGTCAGTGATTATGTAATGTATATTTATTTAAATAAAACTCCTAATTCAGTATAAAAAAAACCCTGAAAAAATTTGCACTTAAAAAAATGTAATCATTACTTAAACATAATTATATCACTAGAAAGGCAGATACTTTACTTTTTCCATTCAGTGTGCAAAACAACTTGAGTCAAAATGATTTAAAATCATGGAGCAGGTCACATATGACTTTCATCAATTGTAAAACAGAAATAATTATTGTTTTATTAATTGAGTGCCGCAGCCGTGACGTCAAAACCTGGACAACTAATTTGCCACTGTTTCCCTCAAGAGTTTCCTATAGGTTTTCTTAATAGGTTTTTCAATTAACGAGTAAAGCAAGGTCTGTGGTAAAAATAAATTGATGACACTTGGATGTTTTTCTTAAGGGAATCTTGAGGGAACCCATGACAAATTGGTCTTCTGGGTTTTGACGTCACGGCTGCAGCACTCAATTAAAACAATAATTAGTGTCTGTTTTACAATTGATGGAAGACATAGAAGTAGCAGATGTAAAGCAAGAATGCACTGACTGTTGTCTTCATTTTGAGGCTCATGGACGATAGGAAGGTGTTGTGTTTGGGGCTCAGGTGCTGAAGATGAACTGGACAGCTTGCTGGTTGAATTTGAAATTCGGTTGTCTGCATTCAGTCGGATGAGCCAGTGGTCTGATGTAGAGGAGCTGGAGGAACCTGGGGGTCAAAAGTAGCTTACTTAGTCAACTTTGCGCCACTCATGCAAGTCAAAACACTGTTGGCTTTTTCTGATAACAGACTGAAATGCACATGTAGCTGAATGATAGCTTTTTGGAAATAAGTAAACAGACTTATTTCGTGGTTTATGGTGAAGGATTTTGCGCTAAAGTGCATGAAAATACCAGGGACCTGTTTTCACTTTGCTCTAGCCTTTGTATCTGAGGCTCGTCTCCATTAAACACTCATGAAGATGAGATGGAATGGATCCAAACAAGTATTACGGTGCGCATACAAATGATCACAAGATGCTGGCGGACAGCTGGTGCAACAACCTTACAAAACAGACTTGAGTTACAGACCTTGGGAAAATTGCAGCATATGAAAATGTCTCAAAAGGGTGGAAAGAAGAAGAGATGCATTGAGACATGACCTTTCAGAGATGTATTTTTTATTCTAACATTCATATTAATGTGACTGGCACATGCTTTGAGGTGGGAAGAATGTGTGTGTTGCTGTTTTTTAAGTCTCTTACGCTCATCAAGGCTGCATTCATTTAATCACAAATATAGTAAAATTGGCAGCATCATTACTCCAGTCTTCAGTGTAACATGATCCTTCAGAAATCCTTCTAATATGCTGATTTGCTGCTCAAGAAACATTTATTATTATTATTATTATGCTGTTCTGCTTAATATTTTGTGGAAACGATGATAAATTGTGTTTTTCAGGATTCTTTAATAAATGTAGTAAAACATTAATTGAACTTAATAAAAGTTTAAAAGAACAGTATTTATTTGAAACTGCATTCTTTTGTTACATGTAATGTCTTTACTGTTACTTTAATGCATACTGACCCCAAAAAAGTGCAATTCTGTCATCATTTATTCACTCTCATGTCTTTCAAGCCTGTATGACTTTCTTCTGTGAAACACAAAATAAAATAAAAGGTATTTTGAAATGTCTCAGTGTCTCAATCCACACAAAGAAAGTCAGTGGGGTCCAGTGTTGTTTTGACCCCAATCTTCTTCAAAATATCTTGTTTTGTGTCCTGCAGAAAGTCGTTTTGAAATGATATGACAGTTTTCATTTTCTTGGGCAAACTAACCCCCTAAAGTCAGCTATGGAAAAGGGGCCAGCGTGTTGGATCAGACTCAGACAACAGCTCTCACATACAGTGCCGTGAAAAAGTTTTTGATACCATATACTACTGTTTAAACATTTAGGGTCAGTAAGACCTGTAAAAAAAAAAAAATAAAAAAATAATACTTTCATTCAGCAAGGATGCATTAATTTTTTTACATTAAAGACATTAGTAATGTTGTATTATAATGTAAAATTTCTATTTCTTTTCAACTTTCTATTCATTGAAGAATCCTGAATAATGTATCACGGTTTCCACAAAAATTATAAGGCAGCAAAAATCGTTTTCGACATTGATAATAATAACAAATCATCATATTAGAATGACTTCTGAAGGATCATGTGACACTGAAGACTGGAGTAATGATGCTGAAAATTCAGCTTTGCATCACAGGAATAAATCACATTTTAAATATTTTAAAATAGAAAACAGTTGTTTTAGATTGAAACAATATTTCACAATTTTACATTTTTTTTCTGTATTTTTGATGAAACAAATGCAGCCTTGGTCAGCATAAGAGGCTTCTTTCAAAAACATTAAAAATCTTACTAAACCTAAATTTTTTAATGGTAGTGTTTGTGTCCACTGGTGTAGAAGAAACTCACTCAAATCACTGTAAGACGTGTAAAATGTAAGCATGTACAAAGCTGCTACGACTGTGCCAAACATTTTAAACCCAGCCATAACCTAGCTACAGAGAAAGTGTGCAAAGTGCATTGAAACCTGATTTTATCTAGCAATATGGAAGAATGACATTTAAGCACTGAATGCACCAGCACTACAGGCAGATTTAAAAAAGGTTAGACGTCAATACATTCATCTCACATCTATTCACTGGCATGCAGCGCTTTTACCTTTAATTTGCATAAAGTTGAAAATTGCTCGACTTTTTGATGTGTGAGCCTGCCGCTCACCTCACGTAGAGAATGAATTGAAAACGCCTGCTCAGCTTGCTTCAGTGGACACATACAGTCATCACAATAATTTCTTTAGGCTATATAACTTTAATCTTGTTACTTGGGATATGATTGTGTAGATGTGATTTGTTAAAGTATCATATAATGTAACTTCAGTGGTGTGGAGAGGGAAAGGGGTTGAGCAGGAAGGCAAACAGCAGCAGAGATGCAGGAGCATAAAGGGAAAGTGAGAAAACTTTGTCAGATTGTGTGTGTGTGTACTGGTATATATGGTTTATGAGGACACCAATGTGTATAATGACATGGGTACTACAACTTAAACATGGTTTATGAGGACACTTCCTGTGTCCCCATAAAACAAAAGGCTTAAAAAACATACAAAACGGTGTTTTATGAAATTCAAAAATTGCCAGTAGTTTTCTGTAAGGGGTAGGTTTAGGTGTAGGGCGATAGAAAATACAGTTTGTACAATATAAAAACCATTACGCCTATGGAGAGTTCCCGTAAACCACAAATGCAAGTATGTGTGTGTGTGTGTGTGTGTGAAATTTGTCTCCAGTCCCTTGTGACAAGCAGCTCAAAGCCATGTCTGTGCCTAATCAGCACCTTGTTCTTTCTGGAAATGTTTTGTTCTTGTTCCAGCAGCAAGGTTACGTTGTGGCTATGCTGTGATCAGGCAGACTTTGGACTAGTGCTGAATACATATCATTTCATTTGTGTCATTTCTGTGTTTATATTTGGATTCTGAAGATGTGGCTCTCATAGAGAAGGTGAAGAGAGCTGCAAGTGTAGAAAAGCTCTTGGAGCCACCCAGAGGTTGAATGTGACTTTGCCATTTGACATTGCTGCATATACACTAGTGTTCAAAGGTATGGGGTTGGTAATATTTTTTTTAATGTTTTTGAAGTTTATTATGCTTATTATTTGATCAATGCAGTAAAACATTAATGTTGTGAAATATTAGCTCTAAACATTTCTGCCACAAAGAGAAAAAAAGTAAAAGTAAAAAAAAAAAAAAAAATTGCACTTCAAAGGGTGGGGGTAGATAATCACTTTATTGGGGTGTTGGGGTGTAGACATTATTGGGATGTAGGGGGTCTGGATAGAGGTAGTACCTTTGCTGTCCGGCAGCTGCACCCTATCTGATAGGTGTGGATGGGCAACACTGGTCCTCACCCATCTCCTAAATCTCTCACGTGCTGGCTCCACATGCCACACCCTGGCAAACCGCCTCAGCTGGCGGGCTAAAGGAGATCCTGGACTGATCCAACGGCCGAGTGTGGGGGAGTAAACCCCCAAATCAGGAGTGGAGCCCCGAAGGCAGACAGATGCCTGTATTCACGCACTGTTTCGGCAGCTCCTGCAGCCAAGCTGGTGCCAAATGTACTGCTCTGCATTCCTTTGGACTACATCGGTGAGGCCGAGAGGGGGATCTCGACGACTGGGCATCCCACGATCTCCATACACTCCGCCCAGGCTTGCTTCACCCCAAGCGGATCCACAACTCCAAGCAGAAAGGACGGCTACGTATTAACACAGCCCTGACATCAGTCCCAGAAGTTTGCACACGCTTTGCCAGTGCCATTGAAGTGGCCCTCAAGGACTGCCCAGACAACAGCGCTGAAGAGAGATGGAGCCACATCAGTGATGCCATCTACAACTCGGCCATGGCAACCTTCGGCAAGAGGGAGAAGAAAAACCCAGACTGGTTTGAAGCAGGAATAACCGAAATTGAGCCAGCCATCACAGCCAAACATACAGTGCTCCTACACTCTGCTCCTCAGCTGAGTCAAAGGACACATTTTATGAAGAGCTTGAGACCACTATCAAAGAGATTCCTACCACAGAACACCTGTTCCTACTTGGGGACTTCAACGCCCGGATCAGAGCCGATCACAACTCCTGGCCCCGTTGTATCGGCCATTTTGGCATTGGCAAGCTTAACGAAAATGGACAGAGACTGTTAGAACTTTGTTCATACCATGACCTGTGCATCTCAAACACGTTCTTCTCAACCAAACCCTGCCATCGAGTGTCCTGGCGACACCCCAGATCCTGTCACTGGCACCAGCTGGATCTTGTCATTACCAGAAGACCCCTGCTGAAGCCAGCCATCACAGCCAAACGTACAGCTCTGCTAGACTACAAGCGCGAGCCTTCAGAGAAGGCATTAGCTGCACTCCGGAAGGCCAGAAATGACGCCCAGCGGATTGCCAGGAAATGTGCCAATGATTATTGGCTGAACCTCTGTCAGAGCATTCAGCTCTCCGCAGACTGTGGGAACATCCGCGCCATGTATGAGGGCATGAAGAAAGCATTTGGCCCAAGCACCATCAAGATCGCTCCCCTTAAGTCCGCTACAGGTGATGTCATCACAGACAGGTAAGCAGATGGAGAGATGGGCGGAGCACTACCAGCAGCTATACTCGAGGGAGAACGTCGTCACTGACACTGCAATGGAGAGCACCACCCCCTTGCCCGAGATGGAGGAACTTGATGCTCTGCCCACTGTAGACGAGCTCAGCAAGGCCATTGACTCTTTAGCATGTGGCAAAGCTCCAGGCAGTGACAGCATTCCCCCAGAGGTCATCAAGGCTGGCAAGAAGAGTGTCCTCCTCGACCACCTTCATGAACTCTTACTTCAGTGTTGGGAGGAGGGAACAGTTCCTCAGGACATGCGAGCCGCCAACATCATCACGCTTTACAAGAACAAAGGAGACCGTAGTGACTGTAACAACTACCGCGGCATCTCCTTG